GGCATGCTTCTGAGTCCAGCCAAGGCCTGCCCGGCACGGCACCTGATTGACGATCGGGGCACACAGAGCCTGTCGACGACGGACATGTTTCACATGCCAAGAGCGCCAGGAAAAGAGACAGTGAGGGAAGGCGACAAAACCAACACGGCCAGGCCGGCATGACCAGGTCGATGCGCAAGCAAAGTCAAAACTTCATGTCGTCATTTGTGTGCTCTGCGAGGCTCCCCCAAGTTTGTTATCGCTTTCTGAAGTACCGACCGCCCTGAAGATTTGACAGGCAAAACAACAAAAAAGCAAGATTCCCATTCTAGCGCTGACTGCCCCAAGCTCCCGTCGTAGCTTTTCACCAGATAACCCCGAAACCCCCATCAAAGACAAAAACATGCTCGCTGCCTGCATTCCCGTTTCCCCCGCATCCCACATGTCAGCCTCGCCCTCAGATGCCCTGCATCCTCAGCCGTTGTCATGCAACGGGCGCTTGTCATGATCCAGCATGGTGACGAATGTCCCCTGCTGACAAGAGCGACGATTTACTCGCGGTCATCAGGGTGCTCGCCGTAGTGAACGGGGCCCAGGCGCAGGAACTGCAGGCCGGCGGCGTTCGAGTTGGAGCTGCTCACGCTGGAAGAGCGTCGAGCAAGAGGGCGGCTCGCATCAGGAGCCTGAGGGTAGGTGGAAGAGGTGGTAGGCGCCAGCGAAAGGAAGTTTGTAGGGCGGCCAGGGACGGTGAAGCTGCTCGTCTGCTCGAGCTGGGGAGAGGAAGAAGGAGAAGACATTGTGAATGATGTTTGTCGGTTGGCTTAAAAGATGTGGTAGGTGTTTGAACGTAGTGGAGTATATTTCCGAGAGGTTATGTTTGTGCGAGATGCAGTTTGGTAGCTTGAGCTGATGAAGAAGAGGTGGACTGTTGAATGCAGCAGGACAGCATCTCATCTTTATATACCAGGCGACACACGGCGGTACAGTAGACTGAGCACCACCAGCTCGGACGTGATGAGCTAAGTTTCCATGGGTGTCAGGCCACCTCAGCACCACGACAGATGGCCACAGGAATGCCACCTCGAGCAGAGGGTGGACAACCGTCTCAGGCTGGGAGGGAGGGGGGAGGTGCAGGCGGGGAGCGACCTGAGATCAGAACCCCTGAGATGGGTTTACCAAGCCCCATCCAAACCGGATACGTCCCAGAGCCTCGCTGCTTTTAGCCTTAGCTGAGCCTGAGCTACCCGGAGTCAGGCTGTGGCTTAGCGAGCATAATCAGCCATTGATGCACAAAAGTCCACTATAAACCATCTACTATACCATATAGATAACGGAGTGACTTCGTCGTTAAGAAACGGGAACGGTAGCTATTAGTCTCGCAAATTCTTCTTCTCCTTCTTCTTCTCCGTCTCCTCCGTCTCCTCCTAATTATTACACTTCTAATAGGTTCTGGACGTCCTTCTCGGGGATATTATAAGAAATATAAGTTATTATTATAATCGCTCCTTACTTCCTTCCTATAAATATAGTACTGTCCTTGTCGGAATCTCAAATCGTAGTAATGCTTTCCCAAGGCTAGGTTACTCTAGATAGGTATGGTACCCAGTCAGAGCTGCCTCATCCTCGCCTAGTCTTGAAATGATCGAGGAGATCATATTAGGTACCGAGTTTAAGCTACGAAACGGTACCGGCTCATCTCCATTCGAGTTTCTTCCAGCGAGGCAGGATGAGCCACTCTGCTGCAGAGCTTGAGTTCTCTGATAGCCTCCCCATGGGACCTGATAAAACCCGAATCCAACAACTGATTTGCCCCTCGAACCTTGAGATCACGTCCGGTTATGGATTTGTGCCACTCTCTGCCAGGCCTCGAAGATCTCAGACTGTGCCAGATTATGTGACCACGTGCCGTGCCAACGAATCTCAGAATCGCCCTCGATTACACAGTAACGGAAGACGCAAGCAGTATTTCTTGTCCCATACCAGATCTCCATTAAGTTGAGACAGGGCATTTGCTGGGCAGTGATACCAGCGTCCACCAGCATAGCAGTCACGTCGTCAGGATGTGACTCCTCTCGAAGGACGAGTGAAGACAGAGCTACGCTTTTAAGGATGTCCCAGGTTTGATACTTCATCAACCCTCGTGCTGTTACTGAGAAGAAGTTCCTAGCGTCCACAAGGTACGACGCAGACAGCGTGGTCATAGCGGCGTTTCTAGAGGCCAAGGCAAGCCCAACGGCTGGGACGGCGTGCGTACAGCTCTGGATGGAAGAACCACTCATTGGAAAATTCGTCGTGATGGACAACCAAGTCAAAGTCCTCATTGAAATCCTCAAACAGGATTAGACTCCTGAGACTTTGTATAAGAGAATGTGTGATGATCTTGAGGTAACCTAACAAACCGTTGTATTAGCCTCAAGATGAGTG